TAAGGCCAGAACTATATGCCATTTGAGAAAGGAAATCTGCAAGTCAACTACCAAGTAGCCCAGGTTTTGCAGTTCAAACCGGTCAAAACTAGCCCGTTTTTAGAACGGAAATTGCCCCCCCCCCCCCCCCCCCCCCCCCCAAAAAAAAAAAAAAGATCGTCTTGTTGCTCAAGTGCTGCAGTTCAAACCTCCTGTACATGGGGGTGCGCGTCCTGTACTGGCTCCTTTTAACAGGAGGCTGCAATTTAGCCCGGTTGAACGTGGCCGCCCATTTGGTAAAGGAAATGCCCAGCTTGTTCTGTGCCGTAACTCCCGAATGCTGCAGTTCAAACCACTTTGTTGACCTGTCCGCATTTCAGGTCGCGTGTTTTTGTTTGTTGGCTGTAATTTTTATCAATCTGGTTCACGTGTAATTTTTAACCCGGTCAGAACTGGCCCATTTGTTTGGTAAAGGAAATCCCCAGATTGATGTGTACCCTACGCCCAAATGCTGCAGTTTAAACCACTTGTGTTGCTGGTTCAAACCCCTTTGTTGACTTGTCCGCCTTTTAGGTCACTTGTTTCAGTTTAAACCACTTGTGTTTCAGTTTAAACCACTTTTGTTTCAGTTTAAACCCTGCACTTTACATCACATCCTTTTGTTTGTTGAGATTTTGACCTGGTATGGTGATTTGGTGCGTACCTCCAGATACGTGCACCAGGGGTTAACGGGGTTAAACTGTTTTCATTGCTAAAATCAGGGGTTTTGTTGGGCACATTTTCACTTTTGTGATGTGCTTGTGTGTGTTCATTGGGGGCTGTGATTGTGGTGGACGTGTGGGTGTGTGAATGACTGAAACAGTATTACCAGGATCAAGCAAGGTGGGCAGGGAGGATGAGCGAGGATGAGCGAGGGGGAGGAGGGAGAGCGAGAAAGGCGTGGAGGGAGGGAGCAGAACGAGGAGCACCGAGGGGGAAAGGAGAGTGGGACAGAGCGAGGAAGGAGGGTGAGGATATCCGACAGAAAGAACCAGGGGGAGGGAGGAAACGAACAAATAGGTAGCAGAGAGAAGAGGGCGGGAAGTGGAATGCATGACAGGTAGCGCTGAAGAAGGAGGCAGACGAGGTAAGGTATGTTTCGACTCTTTCCTGTTGATGTTTTCTGGACACCTCCTTGCACAGATTACGCTCAGTGTGCTTTTTGAGAAGATATGGGAGAAGAGAGGGAGAGCGCTGTGTGCAATTCAAATTCGATAGGAGGCATCGTGAATGAATGTCCCAGATGAAATCAAAGGAAATCTGTGCGAATCGTTTTTCACACTCATCACTTGATAAAAAAAAAAAGTGTGTGTGTGTTAGAGAGAGAGAGAGAGAGAGAGAGAGAGAGAGAGAGAGAGAGAGAGAGAGAGAGAGAGAGAGAGAGAGAGAGAGAGAGATTGTTCATTCAATGTCATAAATGAAAGTATTTCACCGTCTCAGGTGTCCAGGGACATGATTGATGAGCGGTACGATGTAATGTCAGAGGTACAGCTGGTTTGGTGTCAATGTCTGAAGCGTTCAGCAACCATGTCTCTCCCCTCTGCTTGTCCAAGTGTGTGGTTATGCAAATGCAGACAGATCAGAACGTCTCGAGGATTGGCGTGGTCCCGCTGGCATGCAAGAAAAGGGTGGATGCATTATTTATTGGAAGCGCGAAGCCAAAGCGAAGAGGGCGTCCAGCACGGAGATCCTCCACAGGGAAGCGCGGGTCTCAATGTGAAGTGCAGGCAAAGGGTCTTCTGGCGGATGTAGTGGTTGTTGATGACAGCAGTGAAGAAGATGACATCAACAAGCTGTTCCGGCAGCCTCGAAAGGAGGCCAGTAAGGGCGGTGGAGAGCTGGCTGCGTCAAAAGTGGAAGAAGCGTCAGATACCAGATGTCTGGACCGCCAAAAGCCATTGCCGTCACTGCTAGAGAAGGGGAGGAATGTTCACAAATTTGGGAAGCCGGATGAACAAGTAGAGGCTGCTGCGGAATTATCGCAGAAACTATCAGATGTTTCGCAGGCCAAGAATGCTGCCAACCGCCCATCGTGTGGAAAGAAGAGGGATGGTTCTTTGTTGCCGCAACCCTCACATGTTTTGCCGGCTAACAATGCAGCCAAAACCGCATCGAGCGGAAAGAAGACGGATGGTTCTTTGTCGCTTCAATCGGCTCCAATTTTGCCAGCTAAGAACGCTGCCCGGTCCTTGCCGATTGCAAAGGACATGGACACACTGCCGTGTGGAAAGAAGATGGATGGTTGTGACAAGCGTCAGGAAGAAATGGGGGATCGAAAGGGGGGCAAAGGTCAAAGGACTCGATCGCACAGCAAGGGCACCATGGAGAGGGGGAGCGATGTGGTGGTGGAAAAGCCACCAAAGGATTCAATTTCGGAGCAAGAGCACTGCGGAAAAGTGCTTGCGGGTGGCGCACAACTGAAGTTGCAGCTGGAGGGCTCCAACCAGGATGTTTTGTCGACAAAGTCTAATAAAGAGAAACGAGAGGCAGGTCTTGTGCCTGCAGATGCCAATGTTAAGGCCGCTCATCACCGCACAGCTTCTGCTGTGGCATGGCGACAAAAGGCAGGGCCACCATTTCCTGAGCTGGAACCGGCGAAGGACAAGGTATGTCCACTGGATGGATCCCTGCCCCCACTCTCACACATCATGGCTAGGCAATCTGCCCTCCTGTGGCATGGAACAGCCAGTACACATTGTTTGCATGCAGATATCAGGTGATGTTGGATGATCTACCGTCTTCCCCCGAATAGAACGTAGGTAGCTATGGCTGCACTTTGGGCGATTCAGTCTAGATACAGTGATAATGGCCGTATGTTTTATTTGGGGGAAGACAGTAGTATTTATTGAAGTCCTTAGGCTGCGCCCTGCAAGTGGGGACATGGAATGCCAACTTGGTTGATTCACCAAGTATTCAGCTTGCAACTTTGATGTCGAAGGGTTCTAGCATTGACTAGGCATAGCGGCAGTGGGATCGGGCTTTCCAGCGTAGTGAAGTCATTGACGAATTTGTCTACTTAGGACAGCACATTCGCTTTTTTGCATGCAGAGCTTACGTCATGTTGATGTCGAAATGTTCTACTTGCATACCGAGCCTATATTCAACCGCCTCCTTTCGGTCTTCCTAGCTTCTCTCCTTGTAGCTTGTATACAATGGTGCCACGTCCTCTTGCCCGGTGTAGGGCCCCATCTTCCCAAGTTATTTCCCATGTGCTGTGCGACCGCTGTCTTGGGGCCCTCGGTCCTCCTGGCCCTGAGTTCCGTCTTGGGATTCTTGGTCCCGCTGGGCCAATCTTTGCCGTTTGTCTGGTCCTTTCATTCTCTTCCTGCTCTCTCTTTCCTGATTCCTCTGCTGTGCACATCCTTGTCATATACCATGTCTCAAGGGCCGGGACTCGATTCGAGAACCAATGGTCCCGACACCGGAACCACACAAAAAGATGTAGGCACTGACCCATGTATCTTCCTTGCTCGGTGACCTTCCAAGAAGCAGCATGGGGGGTCGTATGTGAATGGTACATTGTTCATGACTCTCAAAAGAATCTCAAAATGTTGTTGGCATCGGTTTGTTAGTTGCGTGTGTCAATGCCTGTTTTTTTTGCTTATAACGTTGCTTGTTTGCATTTTTGCATGTCTTTTGCGTGTGTGAATGGTGTGTGCGTGTGTGTGTGTGTGTGTTGTGTGTTTTGTGTGTGTG